AAACAGCTTCAACTTATCAGCACATCATTAAGTTAAGCAAGATCCGCATACAACACATCACATATACAACTCACATCATTTAGCAAAAACAACATCAAACAAACAAACAATGCGTCGTCACACATATCAGTTTGGAGATCTCCTACAACAGCTCAGCCTTACGGCCTACACCAGTTTATATTTAGCATTCAGCACAACACAACATAGCAGCATTAACAGCATACAACATATGGCACAACTCAACTTTTACAACAATACAGCTTAAAACATCATAATTCAACATGAACATCTCACAGCACAACTCATCATCAATCAGTTCAACAACATTCATCATTAATAGCTTAAAGCAGCATATATCAACATATATCAGCATATATCAGCATATATCAGTATATTAAACAAAGAACACATCCGCACCCGGCGCAGGAGTACTCGCACCCGGTGTGGACCAACTAGAGAGCTCCAAGGCTCTTACGCACCGGTGTAATTCCAATTGCGCCTGGCGTACTAGAAGGAAGAGACTCTCAAGAGTCTCCCACGCCCGGCATACCAAACCCGCACTTGGCGCAAGTAAGGCAGAGACCTCCCCAAGGTCTCACGCCTAGCCACCCTTGGTAGAGACTCCCAAGGAGTCTCCACGCCCGGCGAGACATAGTCACGCCTGACGCCATACCAAAACCCCAAAGTAAGAGTCCCTGTCTGATATCACGCCCAGCGCGGTTCACCCACGCCTGGCGCGGTTCACCCACGCCTGGCGCAAGCCATCCAGGGGCCTCCATTCCCAAGCTCGCTCGGCGCAACCAGCCTTGCGCCCGGCATGCTTGACCAATGGAACCCTTTGATGGTCACGTGCCCGACGCCAAGAACTACGCCCGGCGTACTATCAAGCAGCAAGCCTCAAACTTTGAAAAATTTCCCCAAAACCTGCAAAATCAAACAGCCCAAGCCACATGCAAACCATTCAAGGAACCACATTTTCAGCAAAAACACGAAAACCAACTCATTTTCAACCTGCAACCATAAATACATCAAAATCCCCAAATTTCACCCTTTTCCCTGAAACCCCGAAAATGGATTTTCTTCAAGACAGCTCATCAATCTTCGAGAATCAAACAATCCATGAGTTTCCAACTCACTCCCAGACAACCAGCATGAATTCTAGCTTCCCTTACCTCGGAGGAGAAGAAATCCGAGTTCCGGGAAAGCGGAGGAGAAGAAGAGAAGGATGAACGGAGAAGAGAAAGTTCGCGCCTCAGCTAGCTTCCAACACCACTACTCAGCACCTACAACACCAAATACTTCCAGAGAAATTGAGACCAAAGGCAAAGAGAGGGAGAAATTTGAGAGTAAGGAAAAAGAGAGAATGCAAGTGAAGGAGATGAGAAAAGAAAAAGCTGCGAGGTCTCACAAATTAACTCTTTAAAAAGTCTTGAAAATTCAGATTGAATATCACTAAATTATTTTTAAGTGACATAACAGACTTTTTTACTTAAAAAAAACTCTTTTAAAATTTCATGAAATTCTAAATCTACACCCCGTTAGATTTCTCATATCTAGACCTCAAATTCTGATTCAGTCTCAAATCGTATTCTATAGCAAATGAATGTGAACTATCTCCGGTACTGAAATTTTACGCTATAGGAAATACACAAAAAATTAGATGATGATTAAAAAAATTAGACTGAATTAATCTTTTAATTCTTCTATTATGACAATTATGTAATTTTGGTTATAAAATTTTAATAGATTAGACCTCCAAGCATTAAAATTATGTAATTTTAGTTCCTTTATTAATTATTATTATTATTCAAATATAACCTTTTTAGTTGACGTGAAAATTATGTATAACACAATGTTGACATGATATGGAGATATGTCACATGAAAATAGTCATATGAAAATAATATTAAAAAAATTTGAAATATTATAATTGCATTATTTTTGTTTTTAAAGATTTAGTCGAATAATTTTAATTCTTTAAATATTAGATTTGTATGATTTTTGATCTTCTAAATTTTTATTTTAGTAATTTTAGTCTATTAAGTATTCTAATAGTACAATTTTAATCTTTTTTTGTTTAAAATTTAATAATTAAAAATTATGTAATATATATAATGTTTTAAAATTGTACAATTTTTTAAACTTTTTTATACATATATTATAATTTTTCTTCACATATTAAATGATGTATAATTATTATTACTGAATAAATAAAGTATATATATATATATATATATATATATATGAGGAGGGTTCAAACGACACCGGTGTAACTTTAACTAAGTGTTATACCGCTCAATAATCGAAAAAATGATTAATATACTTAGAATTAATAAAATCATAACATTTGGATATATCCTGTATAACATATATGTATATATATATATATAGTCATCAATTGAACTAAAATATATATATATATATATATTAATTATAAGTATTATATAAATTAATACCATTGATAGAAATACTATTATATATGAATTTTTATAGATAAATTAATAATTTCATAAATATATATTAGAATATTTTAATATACTTTTACGAAAATATAAATATATTAAATAAAATAAACACACAAATCGTTGGCTTAGTGATAGAAATTGGGGTAATAATAAGAATGTTAATGAGATGTCAAAATTGCACAACTATGATAGAGATCAAAATACATATAAACCTAATAAAAAAAATTAAAAATTATTAAAATGTAAAGTCAAAAGTCAAATTAAAATGAAACACACGTTTGGTGCTTATTTTGACAAGTACAATTTCTAATTTATACAAAATATTATGGGTGAAATCATTTATAATTTAATAAATATTATGAAATAATTTAACTTCTAAAATTATATATTAAAATTTACTGTAACTGTTGATACAAATTCAAACATAAGTTAGGAAATTTAATTCACACTATCCTATAAAATAAATATAATATAATTTGAAAATAAATAAAAGAATAAATATTATTACCAATACAATGTATCAAGAACAACACCATATTGAAAGAAATATTAATTACATTAGTCTAATATAATGCTTTAAAATAATAAATACTTAATAAATATACATTTACAATATCAACTAAAAATAAATATGATTATTTTATATATTTAATTATAACATAATTTTCAACAACATTAATTAAATAAATTAAAGAGAAAAATTTTTCCACTTTATTTTCTTTAAAATTAACTTCAATCAATATATAATAATAAAATACATCTTTGTCTATTTTAAATTTATTATATAATACTTCAAAAATATAAAAAATTAATATATACAATATTTCACAAAAAAAAATTACTATATGATAAAACAATCAATACCACAAATATTCAATTCATAATATTTAAACTATAACTTAACAAATAATATGAGACAAATAAATCTTTTTTAAAATAAAATATTGAAACTATTCTTCAAAGAAACTAAAAATCAGAAATTATCAATTTATGAATTTTTTTAACACCAACCTCCAAAATAAATTGAGATATTATATTAAAAAAATACAAACAACAACATTACTACAAAAGAATATTTATGAAAAATAACAACAAAATTTAGAGAGAAAAAAATAACTAACAACCAATAACAAATAAAATAACTGAGAAATGAAATAAATTACAAAATTAAAAACCAAAACAAAAATTTAATAGCCAATAATAAATAAAATAAATTAGAGAAATGGAAAAAAAAATACTAACCAACAAAAACCACTAAAGCAGTTGAGAAACAACAACTACAACAAAAATTGAAAAAAGAGAAGAGCAACAAATGAAGGAAGTACAAATGAAGCAACAAAAATTTTGAAGGAAAAATATGAGTGTGAAGGATGGAGGAGAAAACCTTCTAAAAAGGAAAGAGAGATGAAGGGGAGCATTTGAAAATTTAAACTCATTTAATTTATTTTGACGTGTACTTAATAAGAGCATATCTTACTTATAATCTTTAAATTTTATATGAAATAATTAATGATTAAGATAAAAATCAATTATAAACAGTCCCTTATAAGATTATTATTATCTTTTCTATAACTACCAACAACACCACTAATCTACCACCCAATGTTGCAACTGTGTCATATCCATTAATAATAATTTTGTCTATAATTGGTTTCTCATATTTCATTCACAATATTATTTTTCTTATACACTAAAAATTAGTGAATAGTTACTAGTAATTTTTTATTTTTAATATTTTTGTGATATATAATATCATTTTTAAAAAGTATTTAATAAATTATATATTTTTATTTAATTTCTTATCAAAATTTAACGTGTGATTTTTAATTTTTAAAATGTGATATTATTTTATAAGTACTTAAATGATAATATATTCAAACACTTTAAAAGTGTAAAAGTGTTTTTTAATATATATATTCAAATGCTACAACTTATTAAATTTTAAGTAATTATAATTTAGATTCTTATAATATAAACTTATTAAAAAAACATCTTAAATAAATTTTGTCTAAACCTTATATGTAAATTCTAATAAAAATTGTCTCACAAAATTTATCATTCAAAATAATTTATTAAAGTTTTTATATTTTTTAAATTGATAATTTTTAAATAAAAGATAATATTAATTAAATATCACCATTTTTATTATACTTCTAAGAAAAACATTCTGATTGTTTTATTAAATATCACTCATTTTGACCAACCTTTTTTTTTAAATTAATTATTATAATTAAAAACATATAACTTAGTTTTATTAAAAATCTGAATTAAATATCACATAAATTTTTAATAAAAAAAACTTTTAAAATCCTAAACTAATTATACAGTTGCTAATCTAATATAATTTTAAAAATCATAATCTACCAGAGTTGCTCACTTTATCTTTAGATAATAGTAGTAAAATATAAAGTGGGTTGCTGTAAAGAGGATTTAAAGTAATTGGAGTACTGGTTTAAACAGTAACCGTGGCCTACATTTGATATTGATCCATGGAGCACGAGAAAGTGGCCCTAGGCATTTAGAGTTGGCATGAGCCAAGGCAGGGTTCTTGGGATACGTGTGACCCTTCTCAATCTACTCCGCGATTCCTCTGTCCCTTCCTAACTTCAATGTACCTTAGCTTCCCCCTTATTGCGCATGTGTTAGTGTTACCAGTTACCACAGAAACTAGTAAGCAATAGCAGTGACTAAGAGAGAGAGAGATAAAAGTCTCAACTCTCAAGAAACCAAAAGCTCATAAACAAAATGAAGAACAACTCCAACTCCAACACCAAGCTCATATTCCTCCACCCTTCTCTTCACAAACAAACACCTTTGTCAACCAATGCCACTGCCACATCATCACTCTTCTCCTCTCACCGCCTGTGGCTCTTCTTTTTTCTTCTCTTCTCCACCCTACTCTTCACCTGGACCCTCCTCACCACCGCCGTCTCCTCCACCGCCTCCGTCGCGTCCTCCGCCCCGTCCTCCTCTCTCCCGCCCTCCGTCGCCAAAGCCCTCCTCCACTACGCCGCCGCCTCCAACGCCACCGCCAAACCCATGTCCCCAGCCGAGACCGCCGCCGTCTCCGCCGCCGTCCTCCTCTCCCCCCGCCCCAACTTCCTGATCTTCGGCCTCACGCACGAGTCACTCCTCTGGGCCGCACTGAATCACCGCGGGCGCACCGTGTTCCTCGACGAAAACGAGTACGCCATCTCGAAGTTCGAGAGTTCCAACCCCGGCGTCGAAGCATACGACGTGCAGTTCACCACCAAAGTCAGCGAGTACCCCAAGCTCCTGGCCCAGGCCCGGGCCCAGGCCCAAGGCGACTGCAGGCCCGTCCAGAACCTCTTGTTCTCCGAATGCAGACTCGCCATCAATGACCTGCCCAACCACTTATATCAAGTCCCGTGGGACGTCATTCTCGTCGACGGGCCCAGGGGGTACTCTCCGGCGGCTCCCGGGAGGATGGCGGCGATATTCACGGCGGCGGTGCTCGCCCGGAGCAAGAAGGCCGGCGAGACCCACGTGTTCGTGCACGATGTCGAGAGAGAGGTGGAGATGGTTTTCAGCGATGAGTTTCTTTGCCGAGAGAATTTGGTTGACTCGGTGGACTCGTTGGCCCACTTTGTGGTGGCGAGTCAAGCTCGCCACCGGAAGAAGGCTGTGTTTTGCAAGAATCCGAGGTCCTCGTTTTCCTCGTTGCCGTCGTCGAAGGCTGTCGGCGATGAAGAGGACTAGGATTATTCTCGGATTCTGGAGAATCTTTAAAATGATTTTTTTTTTTTAATAGAAAGGAAAGTGTAATTTAATTTGGCGTTAAAGTTGGTGTCCTGCTTTTCTCCCCCAAAAAAGGGGTGAGATATGAAAATGGTTTTATTTTAATTAATTATCTTTCTGCTCCATGTTCATCATTGAGTTCTGTTGGTTGGTCTACCTTAAAACTTACGGCGTTTGAAACGAGGGAAAGCCAAATTGAAGAAAGTAAAGAAGGAACGAAAATTTTCAAATTTGAATAGAAAGGAAGTAGAAAGATTTTAAATTTTGTTTTTTTTTTTGAACGAATGTAGCATTAAAGTTGGAGGCGGAAGGAGTTAAGAAAGTTGAATTGCGCGGGAGCGTTACGCTTGAGAGAATTAAGTGCACTTTATTTCTTGTCCTAAATTGAGTATGAGGATTTGGGTTTCACGACATTTATTTTTAGTGGTTTTAAGTAAACAGACAAAATGGGAAATGATGCTAAAATTTGAGTGTGGATTCCTTTGATGTTTTTCTTTTCTTTAACAGTGGTCAGGATTTACGGATTAGTGTCGGTGGCTGTATTTGCAGGATTTGCCAGCGATGACAACCTCTTTTACTTTTTCTAAGATGTGAATTATAGAAAATACAAAGAAAATGGAAGAATGTGTTGAGATTGTGAGCGTGGGACATGCTTTAGCATTGGGTACACTGCTTGTGCCGTACCAAATTAATAGTATTATTACATTGACCAATATCTGGAAGAAATTTAATTTTGGAAATTCAGACAGTTTTCAAAAGTCTTTATAAAGACTTATTCATCCGACCATTTGGGACTTACACAATAGTGAAGTAGAAAAAAAAAAATTTCTTCCTTTTAATTAAATTATTACATTGACCACCTTGCATTGATGGATCACCTCTTGCTTCTCGCATGACATACATCGACCTCAACGATGTGGACTTGGAGGTGCGCCATGTGGTGCGCTCGGATGGGTGTTGTGATCTAGCACGTATTGCGTCACCCTTAACCGATGATTTTCGTGAATTACTCTCCCACTTGCGGCTCTACTTACACCATGATATCCTTGACGTGCTTGCATGGCAGGGGGATGAATCAGGAGTTTATTCAATTTGTACGGGATATGCGTGGTTATTGGCAAGATCTATCCCGAGGAGAGATGGTAGTTGGGGATGGTTGTGGAAGCTCAAGCTCCCCGCACAACTAGTGTTTTTTTATGGCAATTTTGTCATGATGCTTTGCCTACGCGTTGTTTTCTACATTATCGACATATGATTGAAGTTACCACTTGTCCTTGTTGCCATCAGTACCCGGAGGATGTCCATCATATTTTCTGGGAATGTGATGTGATTTCTAGAGTTTGGCTTTTGACTGGTTTGGCGATTACTGGCCCTTCAAGGGACCCACACACTCGACTATCATGGCTGCATGCTGCCCTCTCCCAAGAGGTTTTGATAGTGCCTATTCTCTTGTGGGAGATGTGGAAAGCGAGGAACAACATTCTTTTTCACCGACAAGTTTTATACCCTCAAACAATTGTAGCTAAAGCCCAAGCACTCTTGACTGCTTCAACTAGTGCGTTTGGTGGGAGTGACGACGTTGCACCTCGACTAGAACGTTGGGTTACTTGTATCCTAGCTACAGGGGATCAGATTTCTTTGCATACAGATGGGAGTTGCCATGGTAATCAGAGAAGAGCTGACTTTGGGGGTTTACTCCGTGATTCAAATGGGAGATGGCTTCGGGGGTATTTTGGTAATATTGGTGAGACCAATATCTTGCAGGCAGAGTTACTTGGTATATTACAGGGGCTGCAGATTGCATGGGACATGCATGTATCGAATGTAGTTTGCATTTCGGATTCCTTACATGCATTAAATCTTATCCAACATCCACCTCCAGTGTGACACATGTATGCTACCATTATTGCTCGAATACGGGACTTTGCTAGGGAGGATTGGCGGTTAGAGTTTAAGCATACTCTTCGGGAGGGCAATAGTTGTGCGGATTTTTTGGCTAAGTGAGGAGCAGCAGTAGATGAAAGCTTGGTCATTCTTGAAGCACCTTTAGCGGAACTTTCAATGCTTCTAGATGCTGAGGTGCCTCATAAGAGGTTGTAAGATACCCTTTTCTTTCTTTTTGTTGTTTTGATCGTTATTCACCAAAAAAAATTATTATTAGTATATATTTTTAAATATTATATTTTGAATTTTATAATTTTATATATTAAACTTATTAATGATTATTTTTAATATTTTTTATATATTATTGATTACTATTAACTTTTATGTTTTTTAAAAAATTGCCCCACCAAATGTTTTGAATCCGCCACTGCTCCCAACATGCTGAAGTTTTTGGGTAGTAGAAATATGAGTGTACAACTTCTATTTTTATTTTGATATTTTTATAATTTTTCTATTAAAAAAATCCTCCTATTTTGATCTTATACTTTTACTAGAATGCAAATTTGATCTATTTTTTTTTAACTTTTTATATAATTAACTTTTTAAGAAATGAATTTGTTAGAACAATAAAATAGTGTATGGTTCAAATTTCCAAGAATAAAAACAATACAAATAATATTAACTTTTAAGGATTAACATAAAGAAGTCATTATGATAAAAAATATAAATTTATATATTAATTAAAAAATTAAGAGTGATTAATGTATTGAATTTAAAGTTAAATTATTTGAATAATATTCGAATTTGATTTTTTTAATATAAAAATAAGTATTAATCAATCAAATTTTATATATCTTTTGATTTAGTTAAATTAGTTTATAATGAAATTTTAAGACATAAGTGTGAAAATAAAATTATACATTATATTTTTAGACATGTGAAAACATAAAAATATATCTATTTGTACTAATATTTTGTAATTTTGAGAAAAGAAATTGCTAAGTACATGATCAGGTTTGAATACTAGACAGCAAAAATGATGTTATGGCAGAAATTAAATTAAATACTTTTTCATATTAGTCTAAGAATTATCGGTTCTACAGCCTCTCAAATTTATAAAGTACTATAGAATTTCTCTTCTTATATATATATATATATATTATTTTTTCAGTTATTAAAAAAAATATGATCGAATTATTTTCAGAAAATTTTGATTATATTTAGTACAATTATTTATTTTAACATTTCTTTGAATATTAATTAAGACTATCTTTAAAACCTTACGTTATTCTTAATATTTAAAATTTAGAATTTAGGTTCTGAATGGGCCAACAAGGGATGTCCATCACAAAAAATATCACGTTCAAAGTATCATGCAACGAGAAATAATATTATTATTTTATTTTGGGATGATATTTAATTACATCCTCTTATTAGAGCAGTGATAAGAAAGATTCAACATTTTCAAATCTTACACCAAAATATTTCCTTTGTTTATATATTTAGAAAGAAAAGTAAATCAATGCGTTGACTAATTAGTTAAGTAAGAAATAACTTTAATTAATTCATCAGTGATTATACAATTTTCTCTATTTTCAATGTGACATTTTTTACTCGATGATATCTCTAGTATTTTTTTTTTTGGAAAATGATTGACACTCCGAACGCGAATGCTGAATTCATTTCTGAAACATTAAAATAACAATTTTAATTTTAAAATATTTAATTAAATAATTATTTTATAATAAATTTATTAAAAAAATTAATATTTTAAGGTTTTGGACGATAATTTAGACAATCTTTCGGACCATGTAAAATAACTCTTTTCTTTTACATCATGTACTTTTTTCCTTATATTTAATAAAAATATAATATTCTTATAAATAAATAATATCTTATATCTCATCTATTTTTACAGTCACCATCTTATTTTTTAAATATGTAATTAGGAGTGTAACAACCCTCCATGGTCCCTACACTTAGTAAAATCGCACTAATCATACTAGTGAACTAAAAGAAAATATTAAATTGGATAACCTAATACGTACATGTGTGTACAAAAGCAATGATAATTATGTTTATATGCACAAAATATAATATTATATATATACAATCATCCAAAATAATAATACTTTCCTAGTGTCGGTCAAGTGCAATTAAACAGTTAACCAAGATGGTAACTCGGACACTAGAGCAAAACTCCACATCTCATAACGGTCACAACAACCAGCTCCAACCTAACCTTGACCTGCTCCCATACACAGTATGATCATCGCAATACATCCACATGAAAACAGAAGGGTAAGCTAGAGTTCAAAAATCAATTATGTAAGCATCAATAAACATCTATGCTGCATCATTATTAAATCACCAATCATTCTCATAGAATCACACCATACACTCTATCATATACTACTCATGTAGTAAATGCAACTCATGACAGATATCAATGTATATCAATCATCTAATGCGTCGTCACGCATTCACCTAGGAGATTTCCCTAACAACGGAGCAGTATAAGTGACATCTCATCTTACCGAAACCACTCCAACCATTTTTACGCCCAATGCGTTGACTCGGCCACTGCAAACCGAGATATTAATCCCCACTCGGGTTTACTCGGATGATGTCACTTACACACTTGGAAGTCCGATTCGACCGTTAGGTATAACATAGTTAGGTACAGGCTTACCACGACCTTGACATGCATTACCAAGTCACATGTGGAGTTCGCCCATCGACTATCTACAAGGAACCACACACCTTCCCCAGTACTTGGTTAAGGGAATAACTCTCGACTTCATACCCCGCTCCTACACTAGCTAAGGACTTAGAGGAGACTCACCCAAACCAGTGGCCTATCCAAGCACCACTCTCACCCGAAACTAGTGGCCCATCCAGGCACCACCCTCATCCAAACCAGTGACCTATCCAAGCACCACTCTCAAGAGACTTTATGGGAGCTCTTCTAGTTTGAAAACATTTCCCTCTCCTCAAGTCCTAGGCTAGGCACATGCCATAAGGCATCACATGTAACAATGCATCATAAATCATACATGGTCAATCCAACACTATGATCAATATTATTCTCATATAACATACATACGGATCATATCATGTTTAAACATTCATCATTACCACGCATACATATGAATCAAGCACCAATTTATATCATATATCATACATATATGATCTAACTTCAATTATAACACTAAGCATACTCAC